CCCTCAATGAAGCTATTTGGAGCAGGGTTCTGCTTTTATGATCAAGACCAACATCTTCAGTAAAGAGAACCTTCAGGCCGCCCCACCTTCCCCTGCAGCCTCCTCAGACCTCCTGGGTCTCCTGCTTCTGGGCTGCATTCCCAGCCACTCCCTCTACTAGGAGGCTTTCTAGTCTTTGGTCTCTTTCTTCCCCTGCTTCTTCACCTAGTTAAACCCCACTAACACCCCTAGATCACTTCCTGGGGCCAGGGACTTTTCCCTGCCCCTCCCCAGTGAGACTATGTCCCCTCACATGTAGGCCACAGCACCACACCTTTCTTCTAATGCACTCAGCCAGTTATAACATTGCATTTTTTTGCTTAAGTGTATGGTCAAAACTTTGCAATTTGAGAAAATGGTATGAATCCTAAATTATTGCTTCTCAAACCTAGAAACACGTGTCACAGGGGCTGGGGAGATAGCTCAGCATAATAAGTGCTTGCCTGGCAAGCGCAGGGTCCTGAGTTCAATCCCTGACACTGAGGAAAAAAAAAAAAAAAAAAAAAAAAGGAAGAAAGAAAGACAGACAGACAGACATATCATGGACAGAAGCCTCACCTGGGGGAGGCTCAAAGAAGGCTTCTTGCTCCTCCTCGATGGGCTCCGTGTCGTTGTGGGCTGTCCGCTTGTGCATGGCCAGTGTGGAGATCTGCTTGTATGTCTTCCCACAGTGGTTACAGTTGTACGGTTTGGAGTGAGTGTGAACGACATGGTGTTTATATAAACTAGAATATTCTGTAAACCTTTTGTCACACCCAGGAACTGTACAAACATATGGCTTTTCCCCTAAGAACAGCACAAAAAAGTTACATTTTACTTAAGCAGGCATAATTATTCCATCCCTTAGGCAAGGGAACTGTGAACACAGTTGCCAAATCCAGGGTGGGAGAGTGCTCACTGGTGGAGGGCCTGCCTCTTCCACGAGGCCCTGATCTCGAGGCCCAGTGAGCACATGCGGTGAGCCTACGTGTCCCAATCCCCGCTCGTCCTTTCAGGAGGCAGCACACAAGAAGTACATTCTCTAACTATGGTTGTGACCTGGTTCAGAAGGTAGTCTGCATTCTGAGTGCTTTCCTGGTGTTTCAATCCCACTTTTCCCTTTCTTTCTTTCTTTCTTTCTTTTTTTTTTTTTAATTTTATTTACGTGTATGTGTGTGTGTGTGTGTGTGTGTGGCCAGCTCAGTCCACCAGGGGGCGGGCTGGCTGGCATGTGGTGCTGGGGGATTGAACCGCGGTCCCTGGGCTTTGCTAAGCTTGTTCTAAGCAGGTGCTTTAGACCACTGAGCCATCTCACCAGCCCCTATTTCTTTCTTTCTTTCTTTCTTTCTTTTTTTTTTTTTTTTTTGGCGGAACCGGAGATTGAACTCAGATCCTTGCGTTTGCCAGTCAAGCGCTTATCCTACTGAGCCATCTCCCCGGCCCCTTCCCTTTATTTCAAGGGATGAAAAAAGGATGGTTTTATTGTCTGGTTTCATTTTAACTTTCTGAGGCTATAGTTTGTCTTATGTAACTAGATAACCGAGATATCAATGGCATTAGATAAATAATGACTCCAATGAATACAGCCTCCTGGGCCAGTAAGACAGCTCAGTAGTATGCTTAGGTAAGCTTAGGCAGGTGCAGGTGACTGCAGTTCAACCCTAGGCTCCACATACCACACCAGCCCCGCCCTAAGGGTGGGCTGAGCTGGAAAAAAAAAAAAGCAGCCTACCCTAAGGGTTTTATGAAGATAATACAAAGATTTTCTGAAAACTGATAGCTAAACATGTCAATATATCTAAAACTACACTTGAGGCTTTTTTCATTTAATTACACTTGAGACTTATTTTTGTTTGTGGTCTTTTTGAGACAGGGTTTCACTAGGTAATCCAGACTGGCTTTGAACTCACTTAGTAGCTCAGGCTGGCCTCAGAGATCCTCCTGACTTGCAAGTGCTGGGATTACAGGCGTGTGCTACTATGCCTGGCCTCCACTCGACTTCTTTTTTTTTTTTTTTTTTTGCAGAACCGGGGATTAAACTCAGGCCCTTGCGCTTGCCAGGGAAGCGCTTATTCCACTGAGCCATCTCCCCGGCCCCTCCACTCGACTTCTTGCATCCAATCACAAGTAGAAAGCAGACAATACGAACTGGAGGTATTAGTGTGAAGTCCTCACTCCTAAAATGCACGTAGGCACATGTGCATACACAGGCATGTCCTAGTTAATTCTCAATTTTAATATTCTTTGAGTAACACAATCTTCTTCCATGGTTCTAAATACAATAAAACCACACACATCAGTCATCTCACAAATATAAGTTTCACACATAAAATAATTGGAAATGGCTTTGTGTCTTCTTCTCAGTCCCTATTCTCAAAGCAGACAGAATAAAATTATTATCTTGATAAGGTGACTGTGGCTGCCACTGAGCTACAACCTGTTTTCAGTGATTTTCAATAATGTTGCACACAAAAGATCCTACAAGTGTTAATATATCCTGATGGCTAGGCCTCAAATCAGTACAATTATGTCAGAATCTATAGACAGGATCTGGGGAAATGGGTGCACACCACAGCAATCAAGCCTGGCTTTTCTTTCTCCTTTTGAGATACGATCTCATTATGTAGTTCAGACCAGCCTTGAACTTGTTAGGAAACGCGGGCTGGCCTCAAACTCTACGATCCACTTCCTGGGATTACAGGCAGGTGCTACCATGCCAGCCTTCAATTAGTCAACTTTCTACCACTGATTGATTCATTCATTTACTGTTTGGATACAGGGTCTCACTACACAGTTCAGACTTGTACTGATCCCCTTGTCAGCCTCCCCAGCACTAGGGACATGCGCTTACCATGCCCAATTTCAGGGAGGCACAGCTTGGGGCCAGCATGGCATGCAGTACTGGGGATCAAATTCTTGTTCATTAGTCAACTGTTACAAGGTAAATCGAAAGTGTACCTTAGTATTTCTCTACCTAAAAGTCCTAGAGATCAGCCTGACCAGACTTTGTATACATATTTTGCTTATCAGAATTTAATTTACCCATAAAATGTTTTTTTTTTGAACCGGAGATTGAACTCAGGCCCTTGCACTTGCCAGGTAAGTGCTTAT